GTCGTAGGCCTAATACTTTTCTCTCACTATATGTGTACAGTATATGTATGGTATATATAAATAAAAGTAAGAGTGTGAGTGAGTGGGTGAGTGAGTGAGTGAGTGAGTGAGTGAGTGAGTGAGTGAGTGAGTGAGTGAGTGAGTGAGTGAGTGAGTGAGTGAGTGAGTGAATGAGTGAGTGAGTGAGTGAGTGAGTGAGTGAGTGAGTGAGTGTGTGTGTGTGTGTGTGTGTGTGTGTGTGTGTGTGTGTGTGTGTGTGTGTGTGTGTGTAAAATCATTAATTTGAATGGATTTCACAATTACGGTGTCATTCTATGACAAGTAGTTTTTTGTTTGTTTGTTGCACACCGGATGAAAGTAAAGGCAGTATTTGAGACCATTTTCATTGTGTATTAAATAATATAAATAATATAAATATCAAGGGACCCCAGTATATGATATTACTGATCAAAACAATTTCAATTTCATATATTATGATCTTATATACACTGTACATTTTCTTTACCTTAATTATCAGTTTACAAACACTTAGATGTAGCTATTAACACATATAACTTTGCAAGGACACTAATATTTACAAACTACTGAAACAGCAACATATATTTTTTCAATTCTCAAACTTTTCTCTTATCACCTTGCATAAGACTATCATAAGATAGTAAAATAGTAAAAAATTTTACATGTAAATGCATCAATTAAAACAGCACACCTCTCATGGAACTACGAAGTACAGTGCTTTATAGATTCTCTTATGTATTCAAGTACTTGTTTTTGAGTTAGATTTTTTGTTAATTCTTTTTGCACATTAATTACTTCAAACAAAGGAATTGATTCACAGGCTTTTCTTCCAACAACAATGATAATGGGATATCCTGTCTTCTTGGCTTCCAAAACACGTTTCCCAATTGTCAATGTGTCTCTGTCATCTATGATGACATCATCTTGCAAAGAGGGAATGTTGCTGATCACCTGTGCCAGATGATTGACCCATGACACTGCCTTTGCTTCTCTGCTTCCTTTCTGAAATATTAATAAATAATAAGAACACTTATTTCAATTTATTCTTGGAAAGCTGTAAATTTTATACAGAAATATACACAGAACAAAAACTTGTCTTTTAGAAATATCATGAAGTAAAACACTACACTATGCTACAATACTTCAGAAAGATCCCTTCAAAAGATGTATACAAGTCAATACTGACATTAAAATTATATTCCCAAAAGCTAACACAAGCCTTATCATGAGGCAACAAGAATAATTTTGTATTTTCCTCGGAAAGAATATACATTTAATCATTCTTTATTATTTATTACTGCAAGGTAAAAGCTATATATAAGTACTCCCAACTCACCTTTGGGCTAATGATGCAGACTTTATATGGAGCAAGAATCCAGGGCCATCTGATTTGTTCATCTTGTGATAAAACCTCAACAGTTGCAGCCAGAATACGTGATACTCCAAGGCCATAACAGCCCATTTGCATCAATGAAGGTTTTCCTTTTTCATTTTGATAGCAACAGTTCAATGGCTTTGAGTACTTTGTTCCCAGACAGAATGTATGACCCACCTAGAATAAAAATAATGCAAATGTTTGTAATAAACATTTGCATGACAAATTGACAAATTGTATGATTAATTTTTTAACAGAACACTTACTTTTTAGTTCTTGTTCACTTTATCTGCAAAGACTATTGAGGATTTCAACATGAATTACATTTACCTCAATCCCCATGGTTTTTGTCAAGTGTTCTCCACAACCAGAACAAATGTTGGGGGAATCTGTCAAGAGCTCTGCATTAGTTGCAGTTCCACATTTCTGGCATAGAAGAAGTGTGTCTTCACCTATTGCTGCTGGATAATGGTACTCATGAGAAAAACTGCCACCAATATTCCCACAATCACCTTCAACTGAAAAAAAAATAATAATAATAATTTGGAAAAAAAGAAGGATAGACAACCTATGTCTACATTGACTGATCATCCCAAACCAGTTTCAACGTACAGGAAATAGGTGACCTCAGAGCCTCACCTTTGATAAATGGAACTCCAATTCGCTGAAAAACCCGGTCGTAAGCTTTGCATACTTCCACGTAGGTTGAAACAGCAGCCTCCTCTGATTCATCAAAAGTGTATAGATCTTTCATGAGAAACTCCTTGCACCTGGAAAACAAAAATAAAGCATTTGAGACAAAAACAAGCAGAGCAGTCACTACAGCTTCCACCTTTACTTTTAAACCTTTGTGTATCATTAATTAAAGTATATAATTTTACTCATAAATTCATTCATAAACATTCATTAACTCTTGATCACGGCTGAACCTTAAGAGTCCAAATCTGGGCTTCATCTCATCCCGAATTTTACTTGTTATCTGGTAGAGACGAAGAGGTAGTTGCCGATGTGAAAAGGGATAAACATCAGCAATTAAGCTGACTATTGCCTCTTCATGGGTCTGAAATACAGAAGTAAGTATGTTCATAATCTATATTTGGATGCAAA